GGGTCACCAGACCTGAAACGTTAACTCTGTTTTCTCCTTCACGGATGCCGCCAGACGTGCTGACCTTTTCCAGCAACTTTGTTTTTGTTTCAATAATGCAATGCTAGAATGGAAAATTACATGCAGTTTAAAAACTGTGACATTGATGGAGAACCACAATGCAAAGTGGCTTAAGATAAAGTTATTTTAAAGAAAGTGCCACTTTACATTGTGATCCTTACTTATCCCTATTGCTAGTCCCTTGATTGTTCACATGAGTCAGGGAGTACTTTGCCTGCTGCTGGAAGTGATGTCGCCTTCAATCAAAAGGACGAGTTTGGTCAGTGAAGAGAATTAAATGTCACCAGACACCAAGCTGTCCAAAGGTTGAATGTAAGAACTGTTGTAAGGGAGAAAATGAACCTGAAACCTTAAAACTGTTGCTGGCAAGATCAGAAGTTGGGCAGGATCAGAACCTGACATATGAACTTGCTGGTACTTGCATGATGTCATTCTCAATCTGGAAAAAAATAGAGGACGTTCTATGTTACAGCTCATGATTTCTTTTAATGTCTGCATAGTTTGGGTGTCTATAGTTGTTGGTGTGTCTTTTAATATTGAGTGTGTGCATGCCATAGTGCTCCATCAGTTGGAATGGATCACAGTTCTAATCTCTACTATGAGGAGATATTGATGTGGTGATTTGTGTAAAACTGCAGTAGCTGGAATTCAATGTGATGCAGTAGATTTTAACTTTAATAAAATGTTGCTAGGTATCAAAAGGGAGAGGATGTGGGATGTGTAACAACGAAAAGAGTAGTGGAGGGGCTTTCAGGTCACAAGAAAGTAAAAATTGCACCTAACATTTGTAAGGTCACAGAAAACATAATGGGATGGCAGCTGGGAGCATTGTTTTAGACTCTATTTCACTGGTGAGAAGCTGAAGCAGTACACATTCACAAGGATGCGGCCTGCTAGAAAGAAATAAATGTATGGAATAAATGAAATAAATTTCTGGAGAAACTCAGCAGATCTGGCAACATCTGTGGACATGATGTGGAGATGCCGGTTTTGGACTGTGGTGGACAAGGTCAAAAATCACACGACACCAGGCTATGGTCCATCAGATTTGTTTAAAAATGCAAAACACGGACACAAACACACACATTAGGTACTTCATCCAAGATGTTTTTGTAGTTGCAAATACATTCTGTTTTGCTCGGGGAAAAAAATCCTGACTCCAGTTTAAAACATAGACAGATTCTATGCAAGACCTCACACCTAACATGCATTGTTGGACTTGAGATGAGACCACTTGTATACATTGATAAAAAAATCTTTAATTATCTGGGAACAATGATTCGAGAGGAATTTGGATTTTGCATTTTGATCAGTAGTCTCCTTCCTAATTGATTAAAGGTTGAGCAAAAGGCAGCCAGTGTTAGGGTTGCCACCTTTCTGCTTGTAAATTCAGTGTCTTATACCCTCTCTCTCAAACTATGCCTGAGGAAGGAGCTGTGCTGCAAAAGCTTGCATTTTCAAATAAACCTGTTGGTCTATAACCTGGCATCATGCACAACACAGTGTGGAGCTGGAGGAACACCGCAGGTCAGGCAGCATCAGAGGAACAGGAAAGTTGACGTTTCAGGTTGGGACCCTTCTTCTTCGAAGAACCTGGTGTCATGTGATTTTTGACCTTGACAGCATCTGTAGAGAGAGAGAGAAAGAGTTAATGTTTCAAGTCCAATGACTTTCTTTGGTTCTGATTGATCCGCTGATTTTCACCAGTATTTTCTGCTTTTAGTTCAGATTTCCAGTATCTGCAGTATTTAGCTTATATTTAAGTGAACATGCAGAGCTGTTTTGTCACCACACAAGAGCGGAATTTTCTGGAACCGTTTTAAATTGTGAAGTGGCGGCTGAGAGTAGACAGATGCAGACAGTTCCTGGTGGAATAACGGTTCGGAACAAAGTATCATTGATGTGAGAGTCAGGATGGAAAGTTAGAGAAACTGTTTTCGGAGGTTTCAACACTCTGGAGTGTGCTGCTGAGGTTAGAGATTAAAGCAGAAACTCAACATCAAAGGCTAAGTTGTAGAGATGATTGAAAGGCAAAGAGACAATGTAAGGATGCAGGCTATTTCTATGTCCTCATTTTCACAGGATACATGGCTCTCATTGAAAGCACAGTGTTGGTGATTTTGGTGCTCAGTCTCTGATGATTGACAGTGTCAAATGTTGGATTTATTTATTCCAGTTACATGCACTTTCAGTGTCCTGCCTCCAGGCTGTGCCCAATCTCCAACACCAGACTATGTCCACAGGAGCCCAAATTGGACTTATGAATCTCCCCTCCCCCTACCGCATCCCAAAACCAGCCCAGCTTGTCACCACCTCCCTAACCTGTCCTTCCTCCCACCTATCCCCTGCTCCCACCTCAAGCCCCACCCCCATCTCCTACCTTCTAACCTCATCCCGTCCCCTTGACCTGTTCGTCCTTCTTGGACTGACCTATCCCCTCCCTAACTCCCCACCTACACTCACCTTTACTGGCTCCACCCCCGCCTCTTTGACCTGTCTGTCTCCTCTCCCCCTATCTTCTCCTCCATCCATCTTCTATCCGCCTCCCCCTCTCTCCCTATTTATTTCAGAACCCCCTTCCCCTCCCCATTTCTGAAGAAGGGTCTAGGCCCGAAACGTCAGCCTTTCTGCTCCTCTGATGCTGCTTGGCCTGCTGTGTTCATGCAGCTCTACACCTTGGTATCTCAGATTCTCCAGCATCTGCAGTTCCTACTATCTTATGAGAGAACAGTCGGATTTGCACGAGGAGAAAAGGGGCATCGAGCTTCTCGAGCAAGTCCTACACTGAGCTGAGGACGTTAAATTTTAGCAACCACCAGCACTACCTCCCACAAGGCTGCTTGACATTGCTGAGCAGTTCAACCCTGAATGAAGGGTTAGGGTGCCCCTGCCGACTGAATGTCTGAATGTGACTGTGGTTGGTCTACGAGCCTCCGTATGACTCTCCGAAGGGCTGCAGACACTTATGGCAAGGAACCCTGATGAATTTGTAGAATCATTCGACCCATTGAGCCCACACCAACCCACTGAAGAATATCACACCCAGACCCACCGCTGTATCCTATCCCTGTAACCCTGCATCTACCATCACTAATCCACCTCATCTGCATTTCCCTGGACACTATGGCACAATTTAGCGTGGCCAATCCACTTAACCTGCACATCTTCGGACTGTGGGAGGAAACTGGATACCCCGGAGGAAACCCTCTCAGACATGGGGAGAATGTGCAAACTTGACAGTCACCCAAAGGTGGAATTGTACCCAGGTCTCTGGCACTCAGCTAACCACTGAGCCACTGTGTCGCCCCGAATTAGTGAGAGAAAGCTTCAAGTTCTCTAATGGAAAATGGCACAGGGCAATGCACCAAAAGGACATTGCACAGGAAACGCACAAGACTGGGAGCATGGAAATTGAACAAAGTGAATATGACAGAAAATGAACAGCAGATACATGGCATAAGAACTGAGGGAAACCTGAGATCAAAGCTAGGGAAAGGAAGGAGAGTGCACTGTCTCTGTTGGTGCGGCCGATATGTAACTGCAAAGCCTCCCCACAATGATTAACTGTTAACTTGCCCCCTGAAATGGCTTAACTGGTTTTTTGAAAGAAATTAAAGATGGGCAGCAAAGGGAGCCATATCCGTGATGCCCCAGAGATTGAGTCCATGAAAAACACTGGACCAGAAATGCACATGAGGTTTACATTAATGTAACTAATGAATTAGTTTAAGGTGATGGCATTGTAGACATAGGTATGCCGTTCATGTAATATCTCTACTGTTACCACAATTTTGCATCTGTAAAAAATACTGTGTCAGGTTTTAATGAGTTGTAAACCTTCCTTTGTTTGTTTTTATTTGAAGATGCTTTGTTGGCGTATTGGAACAAAATGTCCTCACAAGAACTACTGGATTACCTCTCAGTTTTGGAGTAAGTAGTGTTTGAATAAACAGATTTTATTTTCTCCAGTTTCTGAGTTAGAGTGAGAGCTGGATATGATGACATGCTGATGTGAAAAGTGACCCTTAGACAAGCTGGTTTATTTTGAGCTGGAACTTCAATGTAACGGTTCCCCAGTTGGGAACAGATTCCACACTGACCCTCAGTCTCCCCCGGGTTTGGATTGAAATGCAACTGTGGGCAAGTGTCTGTCTTAGTCTGCCATAGTCATGTGACTGTGACCATGAGGTGCACACCCTGCAGGCAGACATCTTCAAGACAGTCCTCATTGTTGCTGTACACTCCCTACACTGGGGGTATTCATGTTAGATGGAGCAGGGCCAATGATACCACCCTGATGCCAACTCTATTTCCACCTTGACCAGGTGTAATACCTTCCAAATAATCATGAAGCATTTGGATTAACCACTGACCTGGAGCCGGCGAATTGAACCAATGGTGGAATGATTAAAGGATTCTGCAGTCATTACTGTCCAAGAAAACAACAAACCTTTGCATAACAGTGACTCGCAGCGCAGCCTCCAGTGTGTGCCACACTGACTCCCTCCCCTGCCTTCTGTTCAGGCTCGGAGTTAGCTTCATGTACGTCCCCTTAATGAACCATAGAATTATTTTGTTTTCATTATTTGGCGTCATGACTCGTGAGATCCATAAGTTACCAAGGTCTGCCACTGTGAGAGTTACAAATTGTTGAGAAGACTCAAGTGATGACATTTTTGGACCGACAAAGTCCATTTCTTTTTCTGAAATATGAAACCTAAACTCTTTGAGTAAATGGTACAATGAAGTAGAATGTCAGGTGTGACCAATCAAATCAGGAAGTATGACTTTGGCTGTTCTCTCTCCCCAGGGTGTGTCTCCATCAGTTCAGATACATGGGCAGACGACACATTGCAAGGTAGGGCACATTGTGAGATAAGCCAAACTGGTTAAACAAGATTGTCAATGGCGTGTCCGTTTCAGTGTTTGATCAAATTAAATCTAATGAAGGAGGATTGGCTTGTTGCGCCACTCAATTATTGCATGTGATTCAAACATGCTGACAAATTCTAGTGTGCGGTTATTTTGATAAAAGAAGATAATTTTCTCTAAACCTGTCCTTCCACATAAACGCTCCAATTATAATGGCTAAACACCCAAGGCCTCTGTTCCAACCTTCCAGATCACAGAGTCTTCTCCCACTGTTTTTCTGTACCCCTCATCATTCATGATTCCTGACCCCTCTCTTTCAGTGTCCATTCCAGGGTTAGACTCTGCCTACCTCATTATCAGCTGAGCTTCCAAACTAGCAACAGCTTTGGCCTTCGACTTTCCACCAGCACCTAGTCCACACCCACTCCTGCACCTCCACCCTTGCTATCCTTGTCCCCAACAAACTCACTCTCCCCCATCCCGAGTCTTGCCCCTAGTATAGTGTTCCCTTTACATTTCCTCACGTCCAGTGGACATCCACTCAAGGAGGCCTGACATCTGGCTGGATTTGCTGTTCATCACCAGGACCTACTAGGACACGTCCAATACAATTGCCCTGACTGTTGGGTCATTGTGGAGAGCTGAGATGATTGATTATTCCTTAGTGCTGTCTTCCCATCTCCCACACCTCTCGCAAATGCCACCAGGAGATCATGGGCACTAATAGGGTTAAGAACAAACCTTACCCTCCTGTGGTTGTTCTATCCCTGAACCTCTGGCTTCTCCTGCTGCCCTGTCCCTACATTCCCTCCGAGAGTTCACAAGATATCTCCCTTCCTTCTCCAGTGACCTTATTCCCATTGAAATGTCAGCTATTTGACTCCCTTTCCATTTGGGGAACACAGTGGTAATGTCTCTTTGGAGGCCTAGATTAATGTTCTGGAGGGCACAGGTTCAAATCCTGTCACAGCAGCTCGTGGAATTTATATTCAATTAATAAAGTCTGGATTCTAAACCTGGTCTCTGTAATGGTGACCATGGCGTCCATCATTGATTGTTCTAAATATCAACCTCGCTCACAAAGGCCCTTCATGCAGGGCCATCGCTAATGTCCTTTCAGGAATGAGATATGCTTTCCTTATCTAGTTTACATGTAACTCCAGATCTAGTCCAAACAGGCTGGTCCTTAACTGCACTCTACAATGATGAGCAAGCCACTCAGTTCCAGGGCAATTGGGGCTGGTCAATAGATGCGGATCCTGCCAGCAATACCCACATCCTACAGAAGGATAAAGAAAAAAGTTCTCATTACTGTTACAAATGATTCCCCAATTGATTGATACCACTTCCTACTCTTTTGACATTGCTGTTAACCCCTGAGAGGATATCAAACCTGACCATCAGCTTCTATGCCCTGACAAACTGTCAGTTTGTACTGAAAGCATGCACCAAAGCTCAATTGCATGGATGGAAAGGGTCCTACAACTTGTCAGAAATAACTTCATATAATAGAAAGTGATTCTGGGAATCCTGAGCTCAGGAAAGGTGCTGTATCCAAGTTTCATCATTCTTTAATGCTGCTGACTTCTCCAAGCCCCATTTGACTGAAAATCCATATTTGCTACATCATTTGTTTGAATGGATTATTTGACCATAATCAGTGCTGAATTTCAGTTTTCCATCTCATTCTAATACGTTTCACTTTATCAAGTGCAGTTTTAGCTTGGGTGGTTTAAGCTGTAAAATTGCTGTGCCCAATTCAACACAGAATCCCCACAGTGTGAAAGACTGAAATTCAGACCCTCAAGTCCACACTGAGCCTCTGAAGAGCATCCCATTCAGACCAACGACCTACCCTGCATTTCCCATGACTCATCCACTTAGCCTGCATATCCCTGGACACTATGGGAAATTTGGCATGGCCAATCCACCTAACCTGCACATCTTTGGAGTTTGGGAGAAAACTGGAGTACCCGGAGGAAACCCACCTAGACAAGGGGAGAATGTGCAAACACCACACAGTCAACCGAGGGTGGAATTGAACCCGGGTCCCTGGTGCTGTGTGGCAGCGATGCTAACTGCTGAGCCACTGTGACATCCATGTAATGTGTGTTTTATGCTTTAAGGATTTGTTACATTTTGAAGTAAATATTTTGAGCTCAATGATGGGGGAGATTTTAAATTCCATTTCTCATCTAAGGGTTCAAGAAGGAGCAGGCTCCAAACAATCTGTGAGTGAGCGAAGGTCCCAGACTATGCCCGCTATTCGGAGCCGAACAGGAGTAATGCACTCCCGACTTCAGCAGATTGGCCATGCAGACAGCTCATTCACACTTAACCACAGTAAGTGTTGGCAAACAGACATACCCATTCACATACCAACACGTATGTGCATGCACTCTCACACATCCATACACATTTACACACACGTACGCACACTCTCACATGCCTGTACGTGTGCATACATCCATACAAATGCGCACACACGTTCGTACATGCGCACACACACGCATACGTGTTCTCTCTCTCTCACTAACATCACAGCCACACACAAGTTCTTATATACACATTCACATGAACTGACATGCGCACTGTCACACACGTACTGCTTCTCAAGTGTGCATGCATGCACACATATGTGGACAAGCATCACTTTATTCTTTTAACAAATTGACAGAAAGATGAGAATAAGTCACAGGTTGTTTCATGAACACATTGGCTCAGGAGCTTCTTTTGATGTTGCATGTTCTCCTGTCATTGTAGATTGCTCTTCATCAGCCTTCAGCAATGCAGTGCATAAGAAATGTTCATGGTATCACATGAGAAAACAGCATCTCGATTGACAATCAATGTCAATTTCATCTTCCGACCTTGACCAGAGCCTGAAGCAAACCAGGGAGAGGGGGAGGGCGAAGGAGATGGGGAGGGGGGAGAGAGATGATGTGGAGGGCAGATGGGAGGGTGACTGGGAGTGATGGATGGACATGTGTCAATTGAAGTAAAAATAACATAGCCGACAATAAACAATCCAGGCTTGGGGAAGGAGGGAAGTGAGTCATAGTTAAAGATGTATTTTGGATGAGGAGATGGGAACGACAGTCTGACATGTGTTAACATTTAAATGGGGTCACATTGCTTCCTGAAAATTAAAACATAGCCCACAACAAAATTAAGCTACAGGTAGATTATTTTTCCTCCAAAACAGCCTTCAATTAAAAGATCTTGACTCTGTTGAACACTCATCCTTTTAACAAAGTCTGTGTAAAGTACATTCAATATGACCTTGTTAAGTGGTTTCTATTTACCTTAAAATTAAACCCACTTTTCAGAAACAGAGAGCTGTGATCAAATGATCTTGTTTCTGGGTAGTCCAAGAAGCCTTCATAGAGGGGAAAAATTGACACCATCTACTTTGAATATAACCCGACAATCTGACAGTCAATATTCTTGAGAAAAGTTAACCTGCATATCCTTGATCCATTGCTAAAATCCTCCTTTGTTGGTGTGACCCAACATACCAGGTACTCTGTTGATATGGAGGCTGGCGACACAGTAACTCCAGTGTAGTAACCATCTCATTTAGAATAGGGTAGAGTAGAATAGCCTTTATTATCACATGCACTTGAATCAGTGCAGTGAAAATTTTGTAATGTTGAAGACTGATATGGAAACTGTTACAAAATGCAGAACTTTAATCCCACGAATCCTAATGTTTGATTGAGAGTTATTTTTCACTTGATATAAATTACAATTTATTTTGTATCCATCCTTAAATATCGCTTGAGAAAATCTTTCTAATTTTTTTTATGGCCCGTTATTACTGTTCCATGTTGCCTCTGAAAACCTGTGATACTTATGCAGTTAAATATATTTGAGCTTCTGCTCTTTTTAGTGATTGGTTTTAAGGCTGACTGGTGATGCACATCTGGCAGACTGGACTTCTGCCAATAACACAATTTTTGCCAAAGCTGGGACAGAAGAGCCCTAACTGGCCATTCACGGTGCTGCTGTCCTGTTCATGTTTATGCTGGCAGGAGGCCACACCAGGGTACTGCCGCTTCTCCCCCAGGTCAACACCCTATTCTTGAACCTCACTGCGACTGCCATATTGCTCAATACCTAAAACAAAAACACAGAAATCGGTTCATTCTTGTGTTGCAAATTCCTCTTGAATGCTCCACACATTGTGTTCAATAAGCCACCTAAGTTAGAAAGTGTGTGGGAGTGATGGTGGGATGGGGAGCTGGTTGTTGTGGGGGAACCTTCAGAGCAATTGTGCAACCAGGGAAATTTTGAGTTTGTTAATTTGCAGATTGTTTTAAGTACAAAGAGGGACATTTTTTTCTGATTTATTGTTGGGCATGCGAACACAGATTGTTGAAAGCCAGCTAATTATGAAATTGACTGCAAGCATATATGGAGCTAATATGATGGAGTTAACAGTTTATGGCAACTAAGGTCTTTGCTTGAAATCATCACTATAGTCACCCTGAGTGGAGCATTATTTTAAGGTGCTTGGGGGAGTGTTCCCTTAAATTTGAAGTGCTTTCTTGTCCTCCTGTCTCACTCTGCAGATTTTGGAACAGGAGAAGCTGACATCAGCCACCAGTCCTTGCTGGAAGGTAACTTGGCCACCGAGGTGTGTCTCACAGTTTTGGACACAGTGTCATTCTTCATTCAGAATTTCAAGGTCAGAACTAGGTTGCTTTCTCATTACCGTACAAGTCTCATTCATGTCCTTCCTATATCACAAGTAGAAATCAGCTCACGGTCATTATCCAGGATGGATAATCCGAGATATTGTGCTGTTTTTGTATATTATTTGATTGGTTCAAGGATCTGAGTCATCTGATCGTTGCAATTGTATCCACTGTTTTGAAATCTGCTCCTTTCTCAGAACTTGCTTCAGGAAAGTGATGGGCACAACCCTCTGATGAAGAAAGTATTCGACATTCTTCTCTTGCTGACTAACGGTCAATCGGAAACGGCCATGAAGCATGCGTTTGCATCTTTACGAGCTTTCATCAGCAAGGTACTGACTTAAACCCTTGTTCCATTGAGTCATATGGAAGCTGTGCATATTATGTGAGGATACCCACCGGTGCTAATGAGAGTCCCAAATGGTACCAAGATATTTGTGTTCAAAGCTCAACCTTTGGCTCTTTTTATGCTCCTTCCATCAGTGGCAGATTTAATGGTCTCATTTAATTGAGATGTTAAAAATCTTAAAAAGGATTTGATGTAATAGACAAGGAAAACTATTTTCTCTGATGGAGGAGCCCAGAATAAGGGTATATAATCTTAAAATTACAACTAGACCATTTAAGCGGGAAATCAAAATTCATATTTTCATTCAGATGCTCCCCCAAATGTAGTGGGCATGCTGGAGGTCAGTTGAAACTTTTTGGTAATTCTTTTTCCTTGGGGGAAAGAATCATGAGATGTATTGTAAAGGTGGGTCAGTTCAACTGAGGTGCAGTTCATTTGCAAATTAACTGAGCGGTTGAACAATTTGTACCTTTTGACCTTGAAGACAAGGCCATTCGGGCAAAGATCAGGTCATGACATGGTAACACAGAAATCAATCAAACAAAGCTAGCACTTCCCTTTGTCAAACAGTGCACAGTCTGTTGTTGGCACAGTACATCTCATAGATGGTGCACACTAGTAGAGGGAGCGAATGTTGAAGGTGGTGCATGGGATGCCAACCAAACAGGCTGCTGTGTCCTGGATGGTGTTGAGCTTTACTCTGACAAATGGAAAGTATTCCATTGCACTTTTGATTTGTACCTTGTTGGTGGTGGACATGTGTTTCGGGGAATCAGGAGATGAGTCACTCACCTCAGAATTCTCAACCTCTGACCTGTTGTTAAGGCTGCAGTATGAGTCTGCTTGGACCAGTTCAGTTTCTGGATAACGGTCATGGTGGTGGGGAAGGGCTCATGATTATAATGTCTTGGAGCAGCAAGGAGAGATGTTAGAATCTGAATCTGTCAGTGGAACAAAGTGAGACTTATTGCAAGATGCCTCTTGCGGAAATTCCTCCAGTGTGCTCCCAGAAAGCTTGTTGAGGGTGACTTGGACCCTGAATGTGAACAGTTAGAGGAAACTGTCCCTTCTCTCTAAATAACTAAACGTGCAAATGTCTTTGGGAAACTTCTCAGTTTCTAAACCAAGCAGAAGAACAATAAAATAAAACAAAGAACTGTGGATGCTGCAAGTCTGAAAGAAAACACAGAAATTGCTGGAGAAATTCAGCAGGTCGGGCTGTATCCCTGGAGAGAGGAATAGATTTAATGTTTCAAGTCTCGTGACCCTTTTTCAGAACTATTTTGAGAAGAAAGGTCACTGCACTTGAAACACTAACTCAGTTCCTCTCTCCATAGATGCAGCCAGCCATGCTGCGTTTCTCCAGCATTTTCTGTTGAAGCAGAGGAACTAGCCAGATTGGAGCTGAAACACTGTAGTACTCGGCTCTATCCCATACTGCAATTTGGTTTGGTTTGGTTAGTTTGCCAGCTCTGTTTGGGCTTGTTTCAGAAAGTTACGTTACATATCCCTTCACCTCAAAGCAGTCCGCTTCCACACCCTCATTGTTGGTCAGTTTTCCAGATGTGTCTCCCAATTGGAAAACCGACAGTCCCAGCTACTCAACTGAATCATCGTTGTTTGCGCCTTTTCTCAGGACTGCGAATTTTGTTGTGAATAATGAATGAAAAAAAATAACAAACTCAACTACATTTAATACCCTGACAGTTTTTCCTCTGGAGTTTCACAGGCAGCAGTGTTTTAAAGTAAACTTTTTGGAATCTCCAGAGAAATCCCAGAGAGTTGACAACCCAATTTCAAATGCATTGAAATGTGCCTGAAATGAGTTATGGTCTGATTTTTCCTTCTCTCTTTCTCTTTCTCTCTCTGTCTGTCTGTCACTCTCTCTCTCTCTCTCTCTCTCTCTCTCTCTCTCTATCTCTCTCTATCTCTCCACCTGCAGTTCCCAGTGACATTTTTTAAAGGGCGCGACAGTATCTGCTCCACTTTCTGCTATGAGATCCTGAAAGGTTGCACCTCCAAGCTGAGCTCCACTCGAAGCGAGGCCTCTGCCCTCCTCTACTTGCTGATGAGGAACAACTTTGAGTACACCAAGAAGAGGACCTTTCTGAGGACACACCTTCAGGTCAGTCATTCCACTGTTCCTGAAACCCACAGCTAAACTCTCACTCCAGCACAGGTCCAACTTGCGAGTGTTTGTGTGCAGAAGCCCCCAACCCGTAACCTCCTTTTGAAGGATCCTCTCAGACTGAATGGGGTGCTGCATGAATGCAGTGTTGTCATTCCTCACCAGATATACACAACCACCTTTCCTGACTCTGTTAATCCTAACTGACCTAATCCCAGCTGGCCCTGTTCTGTCATGGCCAGCGTTTATTTACAACATTCCATATTCAACAAACAGGATTGAATGAAAATGTTCCAAGTACGGATGTTGGAAAGAATATTTTAGGGTAGAACAAACAAGCTTTTAAGGGAGTTTTGCTTTAAATATAAATACCTGAAATGTAAATACTTATTTTTCAGCTGATTACATTGTGAAAAGACCTCTTTGCTTTGTGGACTAATTTGATCAATTCTAATTCTCAAGATCCACCCGGTCTGATCCCCAGGTGATCATTGGCTATCTGCTGCTGTGACTCTTTGGCAGTGTTCTGTGTCAAAATATTGTAGGTTCAACTCCTCTCACTGAACGTCATACCTCAGATCCTAGGCTGACATTCCGGGGCAGTACCAAGGGAATACTATTGTGCTGTCTGAGGTGCTGACTTTCAGATGAGATATTAAACCTATCTGCCTTGTTGCCCACACAGGGAAGATCCTGTGGCATTATTTTAGAGTTATTTCCCATCTTGCTCAACTGTGGCAGCAGTTTATACAGTCGTAAACAAAATGTTGGTTGAGGGAGCAGGCGAAAATGCAAGTTGGCTGTGGCGTTTCTGATACTACAACAACTGCTACACTTCAGGAACTGATTTGTTGGCTGTAAAGTGTTGTGAGGCTATGAAAATGCCATATAAAAGCATGTTCTTTCTTTCCTCGAACTGACCAGTACAATGCAGCGATCAGTAAATTGCCAAGTGACAGCCCCAGAATGACTTATGACCCTGACTGTGTTCATTAGCACTAGGTTGAACCCAGCCAGTTTGTATGTTTTTTTTTTAAATATTTGTTCTCAGGATGTCACTTGCCAGGCTGGTGTTTATTTCCCAACTCTACTTGCTCTTGAGAGAACGGGGTGGTGAGCTGACTTCTTGAACCACTGTTCTTGAGATGTAGGATCCATACACGGTGCTGTTAGGAAAGAAGCCAGTTACAGATCCCTACCCTGCCTTTGCCCTCCGACAACCTCTCGCTGTCACCCTCAGTCTCTATCCTGCTCACTCTCCTCCCTCACGGTCTTCCCAGCATCATCTCTTGGTGCCTTCCTCTCTGTCCTGTATCCTGATCATGCTGTTTCGCCCCACGTATGCACTGTAATTTTCCAGTGCACAGTGCGTGCTAGTGTAGTTGATGCCTGTGGAGCTCAGGCACTGGGAGGTTGATGCCTGGGTGCCACAATCTCAAATTTACGTCACTAAAACCAATTCGCTCACCCTGATTTGTCAATGAGAGAGCTGGGGTCCACCAGCTTCCCAAGAGCCAGAGGAGTGACCCATCAAATGTAAGCTGGTCTCCACCCAATCAAAAGAGGGGCTAATGTACGGTTAGTGATCTTAAAATCAACCATAGTCTCACTTATTTAACATTGGACACTGTAATGCTATAAAAAAGTGCTACGTAATCTAACCTTAGCCCATCTCGCACTGTCTTGTCTCATCCAGTAGCTCACAAGACAAGTGAAAAGGTAGTTGAGATTAAGGAACAAAAAGAGCCCTGAAAATTGGCATCCAGGAAATAGTGTCAGTATTTCAGCCATTCGCTCAGATGTCTTTGCAAGGATACAGTGGGAGGGCAGCAGAAAGAGCTGAACACCGAGGTGCAATTGGATATGACAAATAGTGACAGCAGCTCTCCTGGCTGGAAGAACTACCATCAAAAACTTACAATGAATTTTAACTAGAGAGGGATGCTGTTCAATATATCTGAAACTACAGTCAATTCTGTACATGAATGATGTGTTTCCTTTGCATTTCAGATTATAATCGCAGTGAGCCGCTTGATAGCTGATGTGATTCTAACCGGAGAGTCCAGGTTCCAGGATGCTCTCTCCATCATCAATAACTTTGCCAATAGTGACAAGGCTCTGAAGGTTTGCATGGGCTTCTTTGCTTTTGGTGTGTCACGTGATGTAGAACTGAGTATTTTCTCAACCTTCCACACTCAGTGAGAGTAAGGAACCTCCATGTTGTTGCTCACAAATGCAAAAGAAACCTCGGTGGTCCTGATTAATAATCTAATCAACTGGATCTCACACAATTATCTATCAAATTCAGTTGTGCATTTTCTTCGATTCTCTCTCCCTAGCCAGACTTGTGTTTGGCCCAGTTAGTCTTTGCATGAGGTGATTCCATTTAAACTGTTCCATCTCTATGCTTGAAGTGGATAATGTGCAGTAATGATTAGGACACTTTTTTAAACATATTAATGCTTTAGTATAAAGAAAAAATTCTTCTGTAAATTCGTAGGAAGACAAACACTATGCATGGAAACACTATTTCTTAGCATTGCCCAAGGATCTCGCATAAGATTACATTGGATGTACAGCACAGAAACAGACCATTTGACCTAATCAGTCAATGCTGGTGTTCATGATATGTGTGAACTTCCCCCCACTTTTATTAAATACAATTAAATCCATCCTCCCAACCTGCTATTCACTTCGTCCTCAACTGAGCTTGCTGAGCTTCCCCTTAAATGCATCCACGATTTTCTCTGCAACCACTCTTTGCAGTCATTACTTCCATATTCTCAACTCTCCTCAGGTAAGGAAGATTCTTATCAGTTGGATTTCTTGGTAACTGGCTTGTGTTGACAGCCTTTAGTGATGCTCTTCCCCTCAAGAGGAGATGTTCTCTCCAGATCCACTCAATCAGAACCCTCCATCATTTAAAATATCTCAATTAGGTCAACCTTAAGCTGCCTTTTCTCAAAAGGTAACAGGTACACTCTCCAACCTCTCCTGATACGGATACCCACATATTTCCATACCATCCTTGTAAATCTTTTTGGCACCCTCTCTGTGCCTTTCTATCCCTTCTTAAAATGCCACACTTCACACAATCTGCCTTGCTTTAATAAATACAGCACCACTACCTTCTTGGGGCAAGTAGGAAGAGCAATAAATGACACCAACATCTGGGAATGCATCCATTTCACGGGCGATGGCACCTGAGACAACACTGTTCCCAATGTCAAATTCTGCTGCTCTTTACTTTAGCTTGAACATAAGAACTTAGGAAAAGGGAAGTTTCTGTTAGACCCATGAAGCCTTTAACTGGACTGTACAACTGTTGTCCCAGCTTCCCATCACCATCCGTCCACAAATCTGAGGTCACCTTAGCTGCCCTATCAATAGATTCTTGATGACCAAAGGGATGCATGCAAGTATAGATTTGAGGCTCAAATCAGATCAACCATGATCTTATTGAATGGTGGAGCAGGTCCAAAGGACCAAATGGCCTACTCTTCTTCCTCGTTCAGACGTAAGTTGCTTTCTTACTTTTCTATGATGTGCCTAAACGTGTTTTATTAGTTTGAAGCTGCTATATCAATATTTGGTAATGAGATGCATGGATAATAAGCCATAGAAAGGTGAAATTAAATCTTGGCAAATAATTAACAGGCTCACTGCTTTGGTTCTTTCGCAGTCAACTGCGTTCCCGGGTGAGGTGAAAGATCTGACAAAGAGAATTCGCACAGTACTTATGGCCACTGCTCAGATGAAGGAGCACGAGAAGGACCCTGAGATGTTGGTGGACCTTCAGTACAGTTTAGCCAAGTCCTATGCCAGCACGCCTGAGCTCAGAAAGACCTGGCTTGGCAGCATGGCAAAAATCCATTTGAAAAATGGTGACTTGTCTGAGGTAAGAGGCCTGCACCTTTAAACAGAGCGTGTGACAGAGATCGAACCCCATCACGCCAGTTTGAGCATTTCAATTCTGGTTCAGAAAATCTGGTAAGGGAAAGCGGGCATTGCCAAAAGAGACCTGTCTGTGTTTTTCTCATGACAACCTGTTGGATTTTTTGTTTTCAGGGGAGAAATAACAACTAATTGCTGTACTTACTGAGTCTGGCCTATATGTGACTCCAGTCCCAAACCAATTCATTGACTTTTGGCTTCCCTCCAAGGTAACCTGGACAAGTATCCCAGTTGCATTAAATCAGGGCAAGTCAGGAAGGGGAATCCTGAGAATGAACAAACACTTGTATTTAAGTAGCACTATAATCACTCTTGCAATGTGGGGTGTAAATTTCACTCCTATTACAAGTCTGAAAGCAGAATCTTGCAGATGTTAGAACTTTGAGACAAAAACAGAAAATGCTAGAAATACTTCATGGCTAGGAAACATCTGTGGAGAGGGATACAGAGTTCACCTTTTTAGGCCTGGGTAAGGTCAGAAATATAAGGAAGGTGTCATAGTCTTACCAGACCGGAGGGCTCATTGCGGAGTGATGGCTGGTGGTGGTTTGACCTGACGGTCGACACACCGCAGGAGCTTAGACAAGGGGAGAGGTGGAGAAGGAGATCTTCATGGGAACCTCAGCTGGTGCAGGAATTGAACCCACACTGTTGGTGTCACATTGCATGATCAACCAGCTGAGCTGGATAGGCTGGGAAATTTTTCCCTGGAGTGTCGGAGAATGAGGGGTGACCTTATAGAGGTTTATAAAATCATGAGGGGCATAGGTTTAAGGTGAGCGGGAAAGGATTTAAAAGGGACCTGAGCGACAACTTTTTCACGTGGAGGGTGGTGCATGTGTGGAATGAGCTGCCAAAAGAAGTGGTGGAGGTGGGTACAATTACAACTTTTAAAAGACATTTGGAAGGGTACATAAATAGCAAAGGTTTAGAAGGATATGGGCCAAATAAAGGCAAATACGACCAGTTTAGTTTAGGATATGTGGTTGGCATGGATGAGTTGGACTGAAGGGTCTGTTTCTGTGCTGTATGACTGTATGCCTGGGAAAATGGAAAGGAGTCTTTATTCAAATGGGATTTGAGGGACGGTAGTTAAGCTAACTGTAGGAAACCAAGGGCTTATGGTCAATATTAGTCAACAATCTATCACCAGACATAGTGGCATCAAAGTTAAGGAAGGAAAGGGTGGAGTCAGAAATGGACCAGGTGATGATTGGCGAAGGATCAGCATTCCTATTTATTGCCTGAGAAATATTTGATAAACAAGGTGCTATTTAAATGCAAGTCTGTCTATCTTTATGAAATAAATACCAACAGATCCCACATGGATAAGTCAAACAGTGATAATTATTACACATGTACAGCAGTGTGAAAGAAACCATTTGGCACATTTCAGACTTACTTTTATTGTTCTTAAGGTTCTATGTATGTTGACCTTTTAATTGTGCGTGTGCTTCATGTCTCCTCATACCAAACATGGATAGGTGTCTGAAAGTACTTGTGTAACCCCTTCTATCACTGCTACTCATGCATTAATTTCCAGGAAGCTTGCTCAGCCTTTGTCAAACTGCGAACCCAGGTGCGATCAGCAGTTCACAAAAAAAAAACCAAAGAACTACGGATGCTGGAAATCAGAAACAAAAATCTGAAAAGCTTGATTTTTAAAGTTACTCTCGCAAAGCCCCACCTCTCCCCCTCCTTGTTCTGATCTGAACACTGCCACCACCACCAGGACTATAAGAACATAAGAACTAGGAGCAGGAGTAGGCCATCTGGCCCTTCGAGCCTGCTCCGCCATTCAATAAGATCATGGCTGATCCTTTTGTGGACTCAGATCCACTTACCCGCATTCTCACCGTATCCCTTAATTCCTTTATTGTTCAAAAAAAATCTACCTGTTTTTTAAAAACATTTACTGAAGTAGTGTCAACTACTTCACTGGGCAAGGAATTCCACAGATTAACAACCCTCTGGGTGAAGAAATTCCTTCTCAGTTCAGTCCTAAATCTGCTCCCTCTAATCTTGAGGCTATGCCCTCTTGTCCTGGCTTCACCTGCCAGTGGAAACATCCTCTCTACTTCCATCTTACCTATTCCCTTCATAATTTTATATGTTTCTATAAGATCCCCCCTCAATCTCTGTATCTCTGTATTAATCACTTTAAACACTCCGGTTAGATCAGACCCTGGTATTATACATTCAAGAAAATACAAGTCTAGAATGTATGATCAGTTCTTGGCATTTCACCCTTTGTGCCGATGGCGTGTTGAATCCAATTATAAATGTCACGCAGTCTATCTGTACTGCCACCTCCGTTTGCCTCTTATTAAACTGATAACTGGAGAATTTGACTACACACAGTCCACAGGCATATTAATATGATTTCAATGATTCATCCCTTTATTTTAAAAGCCTTTTTTGTTGCTGTTGATGAAAACTCCATTTGTATAAGCATGATGATCATTTTGAATCAGTTGAATCCACCTAAGTGTTCAAGCTTCACCCGCAGTTCACTTGATACTGATCAACCATGCAAATCCTTTCATCTCTGCTGATCATACAAGAGTGTAGCACCTTTTTTCAAACACAAAGGCAGACTTGCACTTATCTAGCACTGAAGTGGCTTCAGGACTACCCACATGCTTCTACAGTCAATGAAATATTTTTGAAGTACAGCCACTGTTCTGAAGTATAGTCAGACAGCAAGATTCAAAAAGCATCAATGAAGTAATAATCAAATAATCTAATTAAGTAACATTAGTCACAGCCCATCACTGAGCAGAACTCACCTCTCTTATGCAAACAGTGGGTTACGTGAGAGGTGTCACTCCAACATCCCATTCCAAATTCCAAACAGCTTTTTTCCCATGGTAAGGGAGTCTAAAATTAGAGGGCATAGGGTTAAGGTGAGAGGGGAGGTATACAAAACGGTCCAGAGAGACAATTTTTTTCACACAGAGACAGTTTTTTCACACAGAGTGGTGAGTGCCTGGAATGGGCTGCCAGTCATCATGGTGGAAGCAAGTACAATTTCATCATTTAAGAAATGTTTGTGGATGGCGTAGGTATGGAGGGATATGGACCAGATGCAGGCAAATAGGACTAGTTTAATTGTGAAAACCGGGTGGCAGGGCCTGTTTTCATGCTGTAGACCTCTATGACTCTAATCCAACAGATGACAGCTCTGCCAATATGGCATTCCTACAGTACTGCATCAGCACTTCAGCCTGGATCATGTGCTCCAGTTCCTTGGGGTTTGAAACCCATCACCTAAGGCTCAGGTGTAACAGTTGTCTTTTATCCTTCTGTGGGAGGTGGGTGTTATTAGAAGAGCAAACATTTGATGTCCATCTCTAATGGTCCTTGAACTAAGTGTTTTGTTGGGCCATTTCAGAGGGCAGTTAAAAATCAATCACGTTGCTGTGGATCTGGTGTCACGTATAATTTGGACCAGGTAAGGGTGGCAAATTTCCTTCCCTGAATAGCATGAGTGAACCGGATTGCTTTTTGCACCAATGGCAGTTTCATTGTTAAAATGAGATTTTATGTTCCAGATTTATTAACCAAAATTAAATTCTATCAGCTGGCCTGGTGGGGTTTGAACCTGTGTTGCAGGGAGCCTCTGCTCTGTGAGTTCAGTGTCATTCGCACTACAGACATGACCCACTCAAATAGAGTGTTCACAACTGACACTTAACTGTTCATGGACAACTTGTGAATGAGTCTCTGTAACATGTCTTTCCTCCTTTGCAGGCAGTGATGTGTTATGTTCATGTGGCCGCTTTGATTGCAGAATACCTCTACAGGAAGAGTAAGTCAAATATTTTGTACTAATCCCAATAATTCTTCTTCACAAATTAAGTCAACATATTAGTTGTTTTTTTTTAAAACATGTAGTGCCTTACATTAAAGATGCTACATGGAAGCAAATAGTTATTTATTTCATCAAGTCTCTGTGTACCTGATAAGCTAAATGTCTCTTGTAACTTCACCAGTGAAGGTCAGAAATCACACAACACTAGGTTATACTCCAACATGTTCATTTGAAAGCACAAGCTTTCAAAGCTTCACTCCTCCTTCAGGAGTGAGGATCTGAAAGCTTATGTTTTCAAATAAACCTGTTGGACTATAACCTAGTGTTGTGTGATTTCTGACCTTGTCAACCCCAGTCCAACACCAGCACCTCCACATCATGTTCACCAATAATGGAATGGTGTCCCGCATTGACAGGAGGTTAATTTCATGTGTAACACTTTATCAGTGTACCTCTGTAACCTGAAGTTTCTTTGTCTTAAATTGGCCAATGGCTCCAGTGAAACACTGAATGGAGCTGTGCAAGGTGAATGAGTGCTTCAGTGTTTGGAAATGTGAAGCAAAGTTCGCTTTGGCAGGTTGAATGAAAAAAAGTTGAACATGCGTTTAACAGAGAACAATTGGAGAATCCAAGGTGCTTAGGTATTTCAGTGTTCTGGAACGTGGGTCGCAAATATGTCTGTAGGTGCAACATGAAATTAAGAATGTCAATGGGATGCTAAAATTGAACAAAATAGTAAGGACGTTATGCTTCATTATATTAGGCATTGGTGAGACCGCATCTCCAATACTGTGAGCAGTTTGATCTCCCTATTTAAGAAAGGCTATAAGCGCATTGGGTGCAGTTCAGAGAATGTTTACGAGATTAATACCTGGAGTGAGTGGGTTGTTTTTATGAGATGAGGTTGCACAGGTTGGTCTTATAGCAATGCTGTTTAGTAGGGTGAGGGATGACTTGATTGAATAGAATACAAGACAAATTTATTGTCATATCAGAGATAGTAAGAACTACCTATGCTGGAGTCAGAGACAACACAGTGTGAAGCTGGAGGAACACAGCAGACCAGGCAGTATCAGAGGAGCAGGAAAGCTGACGTTTCGGGTCAGGACCCTTCTTCAGAAATTGTCATATGTGCTTTTACATGAAAAATAGACGGAAAAGTTTTAAAAGTTGCCCAACCACAGCACCTACATCAATGACAGAAGTCACACATAATAATAAAAAAAAGTAAAAGTAAGACTGAGTTCATCACAGTTCAGTTAACGGCTCCTGGGCTCAGGAAAGCTGATTAAGGAATGATGGCATACCCTGAAGATGCAACTGGGATGAGACCGCCATGCGAGTCACTGAAAGCCACCACTCCCGGGCCTAGCTGCGGACTTGGAACCTCAGCCTAGTCTGTGGGTGCAGTCCGGGGGAGCCAGCTGCCCCTCACCATCGGTAGACCCAGGGCTGGGATGGAGCTGTGCCCAGCCCGTCCTCACTTTCCTTTATAAAAACTGGAAGAACTGCGGATGCTGTAAATCAGGAACAAAAACAAAGTTGCTGGAAAATCTCATCGGGTCTGGCAGCATTTGTGAAGGGAAAAAAACAGAGTTAATGTTTCGGGTCCGGTGACCCTTCCTCAGAGCTGATGGCTGGGAAAACGTCAGTTTATATGCAGAATAAAGGGGAAGGGTGGGGTGGGGAGTAAACGATAGGATAGAGCCTAGAGGGAGAGGAGAGCAGTTGGACACACAAAGGAGTTGATCATGATTCGGCTGGGAGGATGAATAGTTGTTAATGGGGACTGTAAGTGACTAATAACAGGTAGTGTTTAATGGCAGGCTATATGGTAACAACGCCTGGTGTGTGGGGTAGGAGACTGGGACATGGGAGAGTTTAGGCCCTAAAATTATTGAACACGATATTGATGCCTGAGGGCTGCAGGATCCCCAAGCAGAAAATGAGGTGCTGTTCCTCCAGCTTGCGTTGAGCTTTGCTAGAACACTGCAGCAAGCCAGAGACACAGATGTTAGTCAGGGAACAGGGTGGTGCTAAAGTGGCAGGCAATGGGTAGTTCAGGGTCTTTTTTGTGAGCAGAACATAGATGTTCTGCAAAGCAGTCACCTAGTCTACACTTCATTTCCCCAATGTAAAGGAGACCACATTGTGAGCAGCAAATGCAGTAGACTAGATGATGGGAAGTGCAGGTGAAGTGTTGCTTCACCTGGAAGGTATCTTTGGGCCTTTGGGTACTGGGGAGGGAGGAGGTAAATGGGCAGGTGTTGCACCTTCACCGGTTACTGGGGAAGGTGCCATGGTGCCTGGGGTTGCGGGGTGGGGGTTTGGTTGGGGGGTGGGGTGGTGGGGGAGTGCGGGGGTGGGTGTTTGTTGGGGTTGAAGGAAGTGTGGACCAAGGTGTCCCGGAGGGAACGGTCCCTGCAGAAGGCGGACAGGGGAGGGGAGGGGAGGGGACTATGTGTCTGGTGGTGGAATCTTGCTGGAGGTGGCGGAAATGGTGCCTGATGATCTTCTGGATGTGGATGCTGGTGAGATGATAGGTAAGGACAAGGGGAAGCCTATCGCTGTTGCGGGAGGGAAGAGAAAGAGTGAGGGCGGAAGTGCGGGAGATGGGTCAGACCTGGTTGAGGGCCCTGTCAACCACAGAGCTGGGGAATCCTTGGTTGAGGAAGAAGGTGGACATTTCGGAGACTCCATTGTCGAAGTTGGCTTCATCTGAACATATACGACAGAGACTGAGGAACTGAGAGAATGGGATGGAGTCTTTACAGGAAGTGGGGTGTGAGGATGTATAGTCCAGGTAGCTGTGGGAGTCACTGGGTTTGTAGTGAATATTAGTGGCCAGTATATCCCCAGAAATGGAAACAGAAATGTCCAGGAAGGGAAGGGAGGAGTCAGAGATAGACCAGGTGAAAGTGAGGGCAGGGTGGAAATTGGAGGCGAAATTGATGAAGTTTTCCAATTCCAGACGAGAGAGGGAAGCAGCACCAATGAAATCATCGATGCATTGGAGAAAGAGTTGTGGGTGAGGGCCGGAATAGGACTGGAGCAAGGAATGCTCCATGTACCCCATGAAGAGACAGGCATAACTAGGGCCCATGCAGGTACCCATGGCCACCCCTCTTACCTGAAGAAAAAGTGGAAAGTTAAAAGAGAAATGAGGGTGAGGACAAGCTTGGCCAAGTTTAGGAGGGTGGTGGCAGGTGGAGAAGGTTCAGGTCTTTGCTCCAGTAAGAAGCAGAGGGTCCTAAGACCCTCCTGGTGGGGAATGGATGTGTAAAGGCATTGCATGTCCATGGTAAAGAGGAAGCGGCTGGAACTGTCAAACTGGAAGTTTTGAAACCAGCGTAAGGCGTCAGAGGAGTCATGGATGTATTTGGGCAAGGATTGGACCAGGGGAGAGAAGACTGAGTCAAGGTAGGAAGAGATGAGTTCTGTGGGGCAGGAGCAGGCTGAAACAATGGGTCTGCCCGGACAGTCCTATTTGTGGATTTTTGGGAGGAGGTAGAAGCGAGCTGTGCGAGGCTGGGGAACTATCAGCTTGGAAGCAAAGGGGCGGAGATCACCGGATGAAATGAGATCAGTTACCGTAGTAGATACAATGGCCGGATGTGTCATGGTGGTGTCATGGACCAGAGGAAGGTAGGAGGAGGTATCTTAGAGTTCTTGCTCAGCCTCTGCAAGGTAGAGGTCAGTGCGCCAGACTACAACAGCACCATCCTTATTGGCAGGCTTAATAACAAAGTCAGGATTGGATCTGAGTGCATGGAGTGCAGTCAGTTCAGAGGGAGATAGTTTGGATTTGGTGAGAGGGGCAGAGAGATTGAGGCGACTAATATTATGTTGACAGTTCTCAATGAACAGATCAAGTGCAGGCAAAAGGCTGGAGGGGGAGGGGTCCAGGTGGAGGGAGAGTGTGGGAACTGGATGAAGGGTCTGTGGGACGAGGGGAGGACTCTTGTCCAAAGAAATGAGCACAGAGGCGAAGACGGCCTCTTCCTTTGCATGACGCTGTCCAGGCTTTAAAGAAAAGAAAACAAAGAAGAAAGAAACAAAAACGAGCAAAAGTAAAAAGAAAGATAAAAAAAGAAAGAAAGCCAATGGGAGCAGACAAGCCCTGGGCTCAATCGCCATCTAAGGATCTTAGGACTGCTTAGGAAGGATACAAGATCCTGACTGGTTCTCAAAGGATGTTTCCTGTTGTGGCTGTATCCAGAATTAGGGGGCATTGTTTTAAAATTAGAGTAGCCCTTCCAGGACTGAGATGGGGAAGCATTTTTACTCAGAGGGTTGTGTGACTTTGGAGATCTCTGCATGAGAAGACAGTGGAGGTCGGATTATTGAATAATTTTAAGACAAAGGTGGATTGATTCAGAGATAGTAGGAACTGCAGATGCTGGAGAATCCGAGACAACAAGGCGCAGAGCTGGATGAACACAGCAGGCCAAGCAGCATCATAGGAGCAGAAAGGCTGACGTTTCGGGCCTAGACCCTTCTGGTGAAGGGTCTAGGCCCGAAACATCAGCCTTTCTACTCCTATAATGCTGCTTGGCCTGCTGTGGATTGATTCACGTTAGGCAGGGAATCCAGGGTTATCAAAGGTAAAAGGGAATGTGGAATTCGTAAGACAAGCAGTATCAGACAGCTCACGTTGTTGATGGAGCAGGCTTGAAGGGCAGAATAAACAACTACTGCTCCTATTTCATATGTTCATGTGTTTCCTGACTTATTACAACTGCAATTAAAACAGAAAATGCTGTATACTCTTTTGGTCTGACAGTATTTGTGGGAAGAGGAACAAATTTAGCATTTCATGCCAGAGAACAGACGACTTCAAAAAAGAAGGGAGAACCTTCAGCCCATCAAGTCTGTGCCAGCCCTTTTGCAGAGCAATTCAGTTATACCACTCACCAGCTCTTTCCCAATGTCCTGGCAGTTTACTTTCTCCTCAAGTATTTATCCAGTTCCTCACAAAGGCAGTAATTGAATAATTA